GCCTCGGAGAAGGACCGCAGGCTGCACGAGAAGGAGCGGCAGATCGAGGAGCTGATGCGCAAGCTGGAGCAGGAGCAGAGGCTGGTGGAGGAGCTCAAGATGCAGCTGGAGGTGGAGAAGAGGGGTCAGCAGCAGCAGCAGCAGCCGCCGCCAGAGCCCGGCCCCCCCGCCCCCGTCAAGGAAGAGGGCAAGGCCCCCCAAACCCCCACCCCGCCCCCCCTCGTCAAGCAGGAGGAGCCCCGCTCCAGCCCTCCCCAGCAGCCCCAGATCACCCCCTTGCCTCAGTTCTTCATCAGCCCCCAGTCAGTGCCACAGGTCCTGGCACAGCCCCAGACCCTGCTGACTGCTCAGCCTGGCACCCAGATCCTCCTGCCCGTCTCCCTCCCTGGCACCACCAACGCCATCCAGCTGCCCGCGGCCAGCATGAATCTGAAGGTACGGCGCTCGGGGGGTGTGGGCGCGGTGCTGGGGTTCTCAGCTCCTGTGCAGAGATACTGCCGGACTCACACCACTGTAGATGTGACACTGAGGAGTGCTATTAAGGCAGCTTTTCAGTATTTCTCCCTCTCTGTCGTGCTTGGGATTGTTAAAATCCCTTTATCTCCTCAATTCAGGTTCATGGCAAAGGCAGGCGCCTCTGGTTTTCTGTAATCTACACGCCGTATTAATTTTCTGGTTTAGGGCAAAGGTGCACGATCGTGTGACCCATTGTTTCATCATGGATTAATCGTGATGAGCTGGATCTACAGATCTGAGTGGCTTGCAAAAAGCCATCTGCCTCTGGGATCCGTTCTGTCTGACCAGCGTGTGCTTTTCCGCCCTGCAGATGCAGCCAGTTGTCCAGGCCGCCGTCTCTACTCAAGCCCCAGGCCTCGCTCAGGCCTCTGGGCCTCAGATGCCGCCCCACAACCCGGAGACGACAAGTCCTCCGCAGCTACCCAGCCAGAACCAGCAAGTGACGCAGGTGTGTGGGCACTCCCTCTGCGCTCACTTGAGATAAAACCATCATTGGCCCTTTTAGTGTCGGACTCAGAAACAACAGATCAGGCTCTTCGGTGAAACCAGCCATCTTCAAATGCTAGTTTCACGTTCACTGCGCAGACCCCTCTGCCTCCTCAACACATTTTTGTAGCCTATTCTCGTCTAGCAGGTTGCCTCTGGTTTTTGTATCAGGAGTTTTTTTAGCTTCTCGGAACACTTGACGGGGGGGAGGGAAGATGACAATTAGGGGGGGATCTGAAAAGCTGAGAGTGGATAAGTGCCCGTGACGTCGATCGAAGTGGTATTCGAACCTCAGCGCAGACGGTAGCCTGACGAGGGAGATGCACAGCAGTGGGACAGCTGAGGCCTGCCGAAATGCCACTGAGAATTAGCCCAGCTTCCAGACTGGTGCAGCTGAGAGAACAGCGTTCTGTTTTAACTGTCCCAGTAATTGACTCCTTCATTTGTTATCTTGACATTACAGTTGCTCGGTTAATAATAGCTTGGCCCTGACGACGAATTCCTTTCCTAATCACGTTAAACGTGCCCCTGGCGGAAATCTTGGCAGCTGTCCTGTTGCCAGTGCGCAGCGTGACAGACGAGGAGCAAACACTCTCTACCAGCTTCTCTTGTGGGCTGGGGTGTCCTGGCCAGCGTTGGCTACTGTCTGTCTCCTCTGTGTACTGTTTCGTTAATGGCAGTTTCGCCTTGTGTGAATGAGGAGCTCCTTATGTCAATCTGAAGGTGCTTCCCAGTAACGGCATCTTTGAATTATTGCTCCTGAATGTTGGTTTAAATCTCATCAGAGCTTTGCCATTAATTGTGCCTTTCCCAGTAAGTGTGATCTGAGCAGCGTCTGACAGGCTTGCATCCTGAAATTCTAAGCAGTTCTGCAGGGAGACGTTGTAACTAAGCCATTGAGGGAAATGTGGCAACAATCAAGGTTTATTTAAAAGGAGTCACTTCACCGAGCCTGTGTGAAACCTCATTGTGGCCAAATTCTTACTGAATGATATCCAGGCCTTATGAAACACTCGGGGGACAAAGAGCTTTATTTACCTGGAAAGCAGGAAGCAGGTGCACTAGTCCTGGCCAGGAAGTACAGGCAGCAGGGTGCAGCTGCAGATAATACACCCACTGTAGGTGTATAAAATGAATGGCTGTTGTTCCCATTTACACTGGCGCGTTTACAGTAACAAAAACAATTTAATCGGCAAACCCGCTGGGCGTATTTTCTGTGGTGGGGGTTGGGGATTTGACATTAAACAACAGAGAAGGGGGGATAAGAACTGAAGAAGAAAGAAGAATTATCTCCACCCATCAAAGGACAGCTCCTCCTCTCCCTACAGGCCTTCCCAGCCTGCTCTGGTTTCCAGTTCGGCTCCAGCCAGCCAGTGACTGACATCCCCCAGTGTTTCCTGAACGCCTCCCCGGAGAGCAGGCCTGCCCGCAGGGCCTCCCCCAGCCACTCGCTGCCTAACGGGCCGACGCACAAGGTACTGCCAGTCCTCGGGCTGGGCCGTCTCTCTCGCAGCCCAAAGCTCCCGCTGAGCGCAGAGGTGGACTGACCAGTTGACAGAGCCCAAGTGGTTGCTGAGATCTGTATAAACAGTGGAACGCTAGCATGTTATACGGAGCTTGGGCTGAGCAGTTTAGGTTGTAAGTCAAAAGTTCCAAGTTCACGCCACATACAAGCATACAGTGGGACGAAATATCGTTCCTCCTGGTCCACGGTGCAAATACAGACAGGGCACTGTAGACTGTAGACATTGTAGACAGGATACCCGTAGTGCACAGTGCATGGAACAAGCTGTTGATTTTGCACAGCCTGCCTGTTTGGGTAAGCGAAGAGATTGCTTGTGGGAGTCGGGGTGCTGCAGTACTGCGGAGTGAGGAAGTCATGTCTCCCCCACAGCCCCCCTTTGTCCTGCAGCCCTCCGTCTTCCCCCGCCACCCCCCCAAGAGCAAGGACCCGCCGCGCTACGAGGAGGCCGTGAAGCAGACGCGCAGCCTGCCGGCGCACAGCAGCGGCACGCAGGTAGGCTGCGCCCGCGCGGGCGCGCACGCGCACACACGGGCCCGCGAGCCAGGAACGCGTCGCTCACCTGCTCCGCCGTCTGGTTTCCCCCGCTAGGTTCCCACGGCGACCAGTCAGCAGATGGACGACCTGTTTGATATCCTGATCGAGAGTGGAGGTGAGCATCTGTGTCTGCTGTACCGTCTGGCTTGGGCCTAAAGGAACTCGCTTTGTTGCACTTGTCTGTTCAGATGACTGAGTGTGCGCGTGGCGAGCCTCTCGGCCACAATGAGAATCTTTTTCCCCCCCTCTGTGAGTGGGAGTCCTGATAAGAATTATGGATTGCTTGCACTAACCCCCAATCCCTCCTGCCGTGCACAGAGATATCCCCTTTCATCGGCGAGGACCCGCCGGTGGCGGCCAAGATGATGCCCGTCACCGCCAGCATCACCACCCTGCCCATCAGCACGGTGCTGTCCCGGCCGCCCCCCCAGGTGCAGCTGGCGCCCCCTTCCTCGCTGGTCCCCGAGCCCGCGCCCAGCCTGGCCTCGCTGGCCTCCGACAACCAGCTGGAGGCCCTCCTGGAGGGCACGCTGTCGGCCGAGCCCGAGGCCCGGGCGCTGGGGGCGCCCCGCCGCGAGCTGCCCCTCATGGAGGACCTGCACTGCCCCCTGCTGGACCAGCCGCACTCCCCCATGGACACCTCCGACCTGCACTTCGCCGACGGCCCCCCCGCCTCCGCCTACGACCTCCACGACGCCAACCTGGACAGCATGGAGTGGCTGGACCTCACCGTGCCCGGCCCGCCGGGGGGACTCCACCCGCTGGGCGTCTCGCCTGGGGCGGGCGTCTTCTCCTCGGACTTCCTGGACGCCCCCGATCTGCATCTGCACTGGGACTGAGGTACCCCGCCTGGGCCCTCGTCCTGTCGTAATGAACGATCGCAGTGTTGTCCCCCACCCCCCCCCTCCTCCCTCCCTGCCTGCCGGCCAGATCATCCTTTTCCCCTAGATATCGGGGTGCACTGGCGGGAAAGGGGCCCGGGGGCGCCTCTTGAGCGCTGCGCCTCCTGGAGCTCAGGGGGTGAGGGTGCGAGTGCAGTGAAGCACCATGGTCGTCCTCCTGGGTTTCCTCCCAGCTCCAGCAGGGTGAGGACAACCAGGCAGGACTCGAGCACTTCGGCCCTTGCTGTAACTTGTGCCAAACAGGATAGGCAGCCCTTTCGAGACCGGCATCTCGATCTGCACAGGGAGTGTCGCCCTGGGATCTCGGGTTCGGGAAGGCTGGACGGGCAGCGCAGCCCACTCTCTGGCTCGGTGGCATTAAAACTCACCAACTTGTAGGGGGGAAAAGCCCCTAAGTGTGGGGGGGGGGGGGAGAAGGGAATTGGGAACGGCTCTTTTTTCTGAAAAGATCTGAAAAGAGAATCGGGCTGGGAGTCCGATGCAGTGGTGCCTGCTGCCTTTCAGAACCGCACTACTGTAGACAGAGGGGCTCCCTGTCTGTGACTGAGCCACCACCCCAGTAATCGGCAGACAGAATTAAAAGGCCCGTGCCAACGTTGTAATCTTGCGTCCGAAAATCAAGGAGAAACAGTCAATGTTGCTCGCCTCCCTGCTCCTGTTACTGCCTGGGTTCCTGTGGGAATGCACTGTGCCGTTGGCGTTGAGGTGACAGGGCTCGGCTGGAGCTCTGGAAGTTTCCCTCCGGCACAGGGAGCCTTTCTCTGAAAGGCAGGGAGCAGCAGGGGGAGGAGGCTAGGAGCCGACACAGTACTAAGATGTTTTCTGAAACGGTGAATTCTAAGGGAAAGTGTTCTTTTTTTTTCCCCACTTTGTTTTGTTGGACTTTTTTGTTTTTTAATATGGCAGAATGTCCGTTTTGAAAGGATAATGAAATCGACGGCTCTAGGACAGTCCGTAGAAGACTTTGTAAATACCTTTGTAAATTATTTCTTTGAACGGCTTTTTTTTTTTAAAGAAAAAGGAATTTTGTAACTGCTGTACACAGAGAGGTTTACTGGATTGGTGCCTTGTGAAGAATAGCATAGTACCTGATCCCTGCGGACTGACCCCCCCAACGCTGCGGTTAAAATCTGGGGGGTATCGGAAGCAACATCCCACTACAGCAGACAAACACGTTCACCTTGGGGATATTGAGCGTGACAGGCGCACTGACAGTTTCTTGAACCACCGAGACATGAGGTGAATTCATTTTGCTGACTAACGCTTGTTGTCGGCAGACGGAAAGCCGTACGGTACGGAGCTGGAGCTCCGCAGTGCCTGGACCGCCCCCCTGATCCTGGCAAGGCGCTGTGATTCGTGGTCTGTTGCAGACGGTGCCATCTTTCCTGCTGGAGCTGCCTGACTGTGACACGCCAGACGGCGAGCAGCAGTACGCGGGCTTAGCCCGGCCTCTGGCACACCCAGGGCACGTGGAAGCATGTTCTCTTGATGTTCAGCAGGCGACAACACCTCCTTTCCTGGGCCCAGCCAGCCAGTTGTTCTGGGAAACGGAGGGTGATTCCCAGTCCTGGTGCTGGGGACCCCCATACCTGCTGGTCTTCACTGCAGCTGAGCTCTCGACTTGAAGCAGTCTTCACTCAGCCCAACAAGTCTCTTGTCTGGAGCCTCTGCAGCATTTTTCTTTCTGTTCAGAGGTTGGCAGATTAACTCTGGAAACTCAGAAGTCAAAAAAGCAGCCTCCTACACATGTACTGTAGTAACTGAGAACGGAGTTCAAATTAAGGGTTTCAGTTACTTAATTGAGAGCTCAGGAACAAATCGCAGCGCGTGCATGGGTTTCCAGGACCAGGATGGGGAACCCCTGATTTGAGCGCCCTCCGGTGGCCGGCGAAGGACATTGCATCCAAGTCCCGCAGAGGAGCGGAAGGGGCGAGAGACCACGGGGCGAGCCGAAAGAGAATGGCAACACTAACGAGCTGAAGAAAAAGTGACACGGTGACGAGCCAGAGGCTTGCTTCCCCCCGCTCGCGCTGGGCACGGGCACCGTGGCGTCGCTCGGAGTTCTCCCCCATCCCTCGCGCTCGCCGGCCGGTCTCGAGGCCGCCGCAGGCAGCCATGGCCGCTGCTCGTGCATCATTGAGAGCGCGCACTAATAACGCTGTACTTCCCCGACACTCCTCTAGGGGGCTCCCAGTGCAAGGACCCGCACTGCCCCGAATTTACCCAGGGGGGGTTAAGCCCATCCCACAATGCACTACATCTTTTGACGGCAGCCCAGGACAGTGAATCAGGCGCACATAGATTCATAGCATAACACTGGAAGGGAAAAAACAACGTTTCACATGCAGACCGCCATGCTGCTACTCTCTCGATGTCCTGTAGCGTCTGTATCCTCAGCAGTTTGAATAGCAATCTGACAGCAACTGGCAGACTGTAGACGTATTGGCATTAGTGTCTGGGAGGCACAGCGAGCTGCCTTAACTATTGAAGAATTGCTATCGCCTGTGCACACTTGCACGCTTGTTAGGAGCTGAGGACAGCTGGGCCGCGCTCTGACAGCAGAGCTGTTGCCATGTTGCCACGTGACCTTCTGCCTCAAAGATCACTCGGGACTGTCTCCCAGTGTCCAGAGACTGACCGAAGCCACTCGTTTTGACTGGAGCTGTCATCCGGAATGTGTGTGTGGGGCTCGGGAATGCGGCCAAAATCTGCCGCCAGGTGGAGGTGGGGTAGCCTGTGGGGGAGAGTGAGGCAGAGGTGGGTGCTGGGTATTGTAGACAGCGTGGGGCCACCCGTCTCCAGCGGTACGGCGACGAGGCTCTTGATGCGCGGGGTCTGAGCTGCAGGTGCTGTTCCTCTGTGTGGGGCAGCCGACCAGGTCCCGCCCAGTCTGTGCTCCAGCTGCCAGGTGGAGGACAGATCTGTTCTTATTGCCAAGGACTCAGCTTTGCTGCTCCTGCTGCTGTGAAGGGAGATGTGAACACTAGTTTAGGAGCAATAAGAGCTGTGATGGACTGCTTGTATGTGTGACCCTTTTATTTAGGGCACTTGATAAGATGCAGATCTGATGATGATTGTGAAGGGTGGTGGAGTGGGTATTTTTTAATCGATTTTTGCAAACATCATCATCCAGTGTTTATCTTCGTGTTGAATTTCGCTTAGTAAGATGTCTCTGCGGAGACAAGCTTGCCTGGAAGAGCTGGGGGAGTTTCCTTTGATCAAAGCTCTGCAGATACTCATCAGAGGTTCTGTCAGAGACCACAACAAACACAAATCGTGCTGCTTATTGCTTGCCAGAAAGATAAAACAGTGGAAGGAAGCCAAAGATGAAAAATAGCAGGGCTGAAGAGTAAACCTAGCCAGTGATCAAAATTATATTTTTGTGGTGGAAGAAATGTGTTTGAGATGGAGAAGACTGTAGATCAGACCGTGAGCTGCTGGGTTCCCAGGGTTAATTTGGGGGTGGGGAAAACATTAAGAACGCATTATTAGCATCACAAACAATCCTTTGTACCTCATGGTAGGGTGGAAGTGAGTACTGAGCCTGTAGGCCATGTCACTATCTCCACAGCACTTCAAGATCTGCAGCAGTTGTGGTCAAACAGGACCCCGACAGGACAGGTGGCAGGAACACACCCACAGAATCATCTGATCCAAACCTGCCGTTGATTAAGCAGATCTGCTGTGGTCGCTAGGAAGGAGCCGGTGCGATCGAATCCACTCTTTTAACGGTCTGCATCACGGGTGATATTTTCCGTTTTGTATCCAAAGACAGACCAAAATGAGAGAAAATGAATCCTGCGTGTGTAGATAATGACACAGCAGTGCCATCTCATGGGCAACATGGGCAGCAGTGAAAGAACGTTTTATGGCCACATAAACGCACACTTCCTTGTCATCTGTGCACACAGAGAGACGCCATTGTTACTGTCGCCAGGAAGTCTGTCAAGATCGCTTGTTTCGCCTGGTTACCGCTGCCAGCGGGTGGCGGCGGCTGGGATCCAGACGGGTCCTGAGCCCGGGTGGCGCTGTTGCCGTGACGCCGGCAGCGCCCCGAGTGGCGGGGCGAGGGGGGGCCCGCTGACAAAAGAGAGCCGCGTTGTTCTGCTTCGACGTCGGAGCAGGACGGCGAGTCAGAAGCCGCCTGTTCGCACTCATCCGGGCCCCCTGCTCGCAGCTCCCGTTAGTGGGCAGTTTTCACGCTGAGGCAGCAGGCGGGCGGGCTGCTGTCAGGAGAGGCGGGAGGACTAGGGCGGGACAGCGCCCCCTGTGGCTGCCACACACACTGCAAGGGAGGAAAGGGAGGGGTCGCAGCAGGAGCTGCGTTGTTTTGCCAAAGAGGGCATTTCTGTGTGCTGTGCCCTTAGATTGTATTTGTAGGAACAATCAGAACGTGCTAAGAACCACAGATGGGGTTTTTTTCAGTTCAAAAGTGTAGATACCGAAGAGTTTTTGTTGCGCAGGTGTTTTATTTTTTTTATCTGTCTATCTATACATGAGCCACCAGACACAGCACCGGGCCAGAAGTAATTAAAGGGAAATAGCTGTGCAGGGCTTCAGTGTTGGGGTCGGTTTCACTCTGCTTCCCTGCGTCAGTGGCTGGATCAGCGGGGATCGAATCGTGTGGGGGAAGCGAGGGGCTGAAGCCGTTCGCTCTCGAACCCTGTCGTCCAGGTGACCGGGGTCGAGGGGCTCTCGTCTCGTGGCGCGAGGTGGTCAGTCCTCAACATCCTGTCGGATACCCCCGGGAAGCAGTTTGTGAAAACAATTCAAAGATGTGGGTTTCAGATGACTCCTGGAAATGTATCATTTTTAAGCACTTAAACACGACAGTTCTGTCTGCAAGCGGAGTCAAGCGCGCGGGGCTATATATACTGTATATTTCTGTTTCGTGCCTTTGCCTTGTTCCTTTTCAGTCCAGTGTTCTTTTTCTGAGCAAGCGAGTCACGCGTTCCAGCTGGTGCCCAGCCTCGGTGCGGCAACACGCCTGCTGTTTTAAAAGGGCGATTTGTGTTGTTAAAGTGTCCTGTGCTCACCGGCTCTTTGATCACCTAAAGCCTTGTTTCTGCCTTTCGAAAATCAGCATTGCCCGCAGACCGGCCACAGCCACGCTCTTCAGCATGTGCTGACACAGAGCGCGAGTCCTTCTGCTTACCTCCCTCACAGGTGACGCACTGCAGAAGCAGACCTCTGAGGTTAGTTGGGAGTTCGGTCTTTGAACATTTCAGCATCCCCTGCACGTGGTTTCCAATTCATAGTTTGTATGCCATAAGTTTTGCACATTGTGTATATATTTATATATAAATGTAATGCGTATTTTTATACATGTGTAGCACATCTATGAGCTCTATTTTGTAAATAGTTGCAATGGAGAAACTGTTCGGTATATATATCTGCCTTTTTTGTGTCAATAAAAAATTGGTGACGTACTGTGATGAGTGTGCCGTCTGGAGCTTGCTTCCGAGAGCTGAGGTCAAGCTGGTGTCTCCCCTGTTCGCTGGGACAGTGAGGAGTACAAATCGGCCCTGGTTCGGGGGTTCATTCCCGCAGAGCTGGATCCGTTACAGATACAGAATTAAACCCACTATTAATTTGAACTCTTTTGATTGGTTTCAGTTCCTTAACAGTTGCAGTTTAACCATTTGTGTTTAAGAACCTAAGATCTCCCAACGTCTGGGTAGGAAAAAACTTTCAAAGGTCTCAATTAATCAATGTTAGTTTTGATGGATCCCAGGAACAGGGTTATGAACCCCTGACCTACAGTTTCACCCACGGTTAAACAAGGGACATTAAGATCCACATGGTAGCGGGTCATTTCTAAAAAAAGACAAGTGCAACTCCAAGCATTATTTTTAACAGATGTTACTTTTATTTCCACTGTTTCGTTGTATTGCATAGGTAATCATAAAAGTTTGCATTTTATGCAAAAAAAACAAGAGATCTGGCTTTACAAGCACTTTGTGTGATGAAGGTTTTAAGAAGAGAGTTTTGTTCGCGCGTCTCTCAAGGTGCAGGCTGGGAGAAGTGGAGTGACGCAAGAACGGAGCTCTGAGGCTTCGTCAGCCCTGGAGGTCAGCAGGCAGGAGAGAGGACAGAGAGCCCTTCGGGCTGGTCAGCATGAAGCAGCGCCAGCTCTCCTCTCCTGCAGGAGGTTGGTGAATGTTTCAGACGTGCTCAAAACGGGGGAAAACCGACCTGCTCCCAACCAACGCCTACAGAGCACAGCAGTGTCACTCACCGGCTGAGCCCTGCCCTTCTTTCGTGGAACTGAGCAGAATAAAACCTCCAGAAATCCGATTCAATCCTGTTGCGCAAGACAGCACAGGGGTTTACAATTTGTTTAATTAATGCAGATCAGCCCGGGTGCAGCTGAAGAGGACTGTTCTTCTGTTTGCTAGTGTCGTTATCTCTGGCTGATCTCGTAACCATTCCCCAGAGAATACAGTACAGAGGACTAGCGCGTTCTATTCGCTTCTTCCTTTAAATCGTCATTTCTGGTTCTGCTTACAGAAATAATATTCATTCATTTATCAGGTTTATAACAGGAGGATTAAATGTTCACAGGACGAGCCATGCGGTTTCACGTCCCATGCAATATCTGTCTAAATTTACAGGCGTTTCCCCAATGCCAGGGCAGAGCTGTACAAGTTCATCCGTGGTCCAGCTCAGAGATGTTCCTCGGGTCTACTCCAGTCCCTTCCCCCAGCCCTGTCCTGCTTCTCCTTGTGGCCGCAGAGCCGGGACCGCTGGACGGGCCCCCCGCCTCTCAGCACAGCACCGCCCTGTCCCCAGGTGCAGGCTTACAGCTTGGTGTTGGTGTGGATCTGGGCACGACACTTCGGACAATTGTGGACTACATCTTTAAACGTGTCAGTGCAGAAAGGAAGGAGACAGCAGCCGGCCACACACCTGGGGAAGAGCAAACAGGATCCGGCGTCAGGTAATAGGGCCGGAACTTCAGCTGAGGTCGTTAAGCGAGCTGACCCTTAGTCTCCCTGTTTAACCAATGGAGATGCTGTGCCACTGCAGCCTTGTACAATTCCCACAGGGATTTTTATGTCTTCAGATCACTGAAGCGTTAGTGATCAACTTAAAGCTTTGACCCTAAATTGATCAATAGTTACGTTTTGAAGTGGGCAATCCTGCTGCTCCCACAACTTTTTCTAGAATATCTATTCAAAAGTAGATGTCCACAGTTGGGGAACATTAACCAGGCCTACAGGGAAATTTCTTGTATTAGTCATTTCTGTACTCACTATTCCTATAGAGCCGCCTCTGCCTAGCTAAAAGAAAAGTTAAACGTATCTATCCATCTTTATAGTGTGCCCTTCTGAGCTCATGAATGATCTTTTAGACAGCACAACACAGGTCTGTGTAATGCTGTAACCTGAACAAGCTTATGTCTGTTATCAGACATGGATTATCAGCTTGCATTTGTACAGAATTTGCTCAATGCAAATCATGTGCGGCACACCTGTAAACAGGCATGGGCAGGGAGGAGGGTGGCATTCACAGTGAGGAACAACTGTAAAGAACCTCTCTTCTCTTTTCACCTGGGGGCTTTGCTCTGGCTGCAGAGCGGGGATCGGCGTCGGCCTGGAGAGAGTCTGATTTTTTTTTACTGATACGCCGTAAACGTTACCCAGGCAGTGGGAGTGAGGGAAGAGGGGGCAAACCGCTGGGCTGTGGGAGAACAGGCGGAGAACGGGAGGTGAACGTACCCAAACAAGATGGACATGAAGCAGACCATCCAGGCCACGCTGCCCACCCTGGTGAAGACCTCCGTGGTGATGAACTGGTGGCAGGACGGGCACTGCGTCTGGGACGCCTGAGGGGGCAGCATCTCCACATCAAAGATGACGGAGGGCGCTGAGGACAGGGCCACACACACACACACACACGCACACCACGTCATTTCGCTTCGGCACAGCGGTTCCCTCGAGGGGAGGGGGCTGCACGGCCCCCCTCCTCCACCTGCTCCGTACAACCGCCCCAGGCCAGAGCTGGGCCTGGCCGCGCCCCGAAAGGAGGGGAGCCCACAGGACGCGCCCAGACATGGGGGCCTCGTGCTGGCCCGGCGGAGAGCGGCCGGCGACAGGGGCGCAGAGTCTCACCTGGCGCGGGCGGGGGGGGCGGCACGTCCGGCATCTCGCTGCCCAGGCGAGGGAGGACGAACACCCCCATGCCGTTCAGCTTGGAGACCGCTGGCGGAGACACAGAGAAGAGCAGGTTTCCGGGGTGCCCAGCGGCAAGGGGAGAGACCCCTCGAGACTCGGAACGGCAAGTGAAAACAAGCCTTCTGCACCCCAGTGCACTGTACACATTGCTATTTAGCATGCTCAAGTGATGAATAACCTTCACCCAGGAGACATGAAGATCTCACCCCTGTTCCCCACAGGTGTATGGGTGTGTGTGATCCACAGGTCAGTGCAGCTCTCTGCCTCCGAGACCCACCAGGAAACAGCCAGCTGCTGCTCTGTCCCCAAGGAACGCTTACTTTCCCTAAGATGGACCGGACTGGGCTGTATTGTCCCTCATTCTCTGTGCTTAAATTTCGGGGGAGGAGTGCCATACCTTGTTTCTGACCATCTGGGTAGAGGATCTCTTCTTTCCTGGCAAGGAGATCCTCCTCCTTCTCCGAGAGAGCTTCCAGTTCCTCCTCGATCTCCTCCAGCTCCGATTTCTTCCCCGATCCGTCTGCTAGACACCAGAATGCGTTATTTGGACACTGAATGAACAGTGGCACGAGGACAAATTTAACAATCGGCCAAAGCACAGCTCGGGTCTTGGCAAGAAACCTGGCTTTAAAAGAAAATCGGCGGGCGTGTGTGTTGTTAAAACAGCGGGTGCCGGGGGCCGGGGACCAGGGGACCTTTCTTCTTCCTGCCAGAAGGGGCGATGATCTTGGTGTCCTCCTGGAAGCTCTGCAGCATGGACAGCAGCGCTCGCCGGTCATTCAGCTGCTGGGTCTTGAGCTGCAGCCGCCTCAGCTCCTGCTCGATCTCCTGCAGCTCCTGCAGCTCCTGCGGGCTGGGCATGCTGTGGCCACCTCCTGGGGACGAGACGAGGAGCTAAGGGAAAACGGAACGCCGAGCACAGGCCCCTGGGGGCCAGCAGGCTGGCCAGCTGGTTACTCTACCTCGGGCCGCGTGGTCTCACTGCAGCATCGAGCTCAGCAGGGCTTTAATCACAGGGCCCAACATCCAGACCTTCACTGCTGACACAACTCTCCCCCCACCGCGCCCCAGGCAGTAAGAGAAAGAGCAAAGCTCCCAAGCAAACCCTCCTCAGGACAGAAGGCGGACCAGCTTCAACAGGACGTTGAAACCGCGGCGCAGAGAAGAGGCCAGGCAGCCACACTCCGCTTCCAGCCTGGGGGTCGATGGACTTCTGCTCCCGCATTGTTCCGATCAGGGTCAGGGGCACACCGGACAGGATGCCAGTCCCCTGCAGGGCACACCCATGACCCTAACCAGCAAGTCTGTGGGAGATGAGAAAACTCACCCCACCCCCAGGGAGAGCACGCAGACTCCACCAAGGAGAACACCCGAAAGAAACGAACCCAGGACCCAAGAGCAGCAGTGAATTGGCAGTACTAACCCCCCCCACCCCGGTGCCAGCTTTCGAAAGTACAGGTTCGTGCCAACAGTGTGCATACCACGTTAACCAGCAGAAACACAGCAAAAAAATCGATACGTACATTCACTGGGAGGCAGATGCAGTTGTCTCAAGTCCATTGTGAAATATAAATACGATCAAATGATTTTTATTTTTGCACTCAAGCAACATATAAGCACACGAAAAGCTTAATTAAATGTATTCCCCAATTCTCCACCCTTCCATCGTACTGTACATCTTCAACAGCGCTTGATTTAATAGATAAAGATGTTTCCATTGCCCAAGACTTTAATGTTCTCAAGTGTTAAATAACCTTTATACACAAAAGCTGAAGATCTCACCTCTCTTCAAGCCAGGCGAGAGAAGCTTGTCTGTGCAACCCGAAGCTCAGTGCAGCTCTGCGACTCCAGGAAATAGACACCTGCTCTTTGCCCAGTATAGAGAGGAGAAAAAACTGTTGCAAACACCATATTTAAAGTATGTGGTACAGTACAGTGTCCTTTAACACCTTCACTTATACTTTAAAACGAGGCATAAGATGACGTCTGATCAGTAAAAACAATGTTAGTATACACATCTTCGGCTGTTTAACAAACTGCTATATACATCTATGCCCTAGGAACCCCCAAATCCCACCAAACCCCTGTATATATGAAGGATGGGGAATTCAAAGAAGCATCTAATTTGTTTGCTGTAATGTTTACTGAACTGTAAAAACCACAGGGGACAAAGGGCCATCTCTTCTGCCCAAACCAGGGAACATCATTGAACAACACACACTCAACAAGTGGAGCATTGCAGTTTTTTAATGCGGATTTTTCACTAGACAATGTGATTTTTTTTTACACAGAGAAATCAATATACAACCATCTACAAAATGAGAAAAAATACATTTTTTTATGAAATCTCTATAAAACAAACCTAATTACATAACAGTCATACAAAGCATTCTCAGTGTACAGAGGTGAACGCTGGAGTGAGCAGAGGTGTATAGCTCTTCAAGGGGAGTGAGATGATCCTCACAGCTCCGTCTCTGCACACCTAAATCAACAAAACGCCCAGAGAATGATACGCTGACATTCTGTTAACAACACTAGCTTACCTGAAACAAACTAGTACTTTAAAGACAGCAAGTCATGGAGTACAGGTTTATCTTAAGTGGACTGAACTCCCTTCGTTACATCACTGGGTGCAATGTGTTTAACATTCTGCGATACATAATCCACTAGCGTCACCGAGAATTCAAAACAATGTCGGGTTCTGATGTCGACGATGTAAAACTTCAAAAAGACTCGTAAATCAGGACACACAAACTGCCGGGGCTTGACCAGCACAGTGAGCGCACAGTCGCCATTATAAACTTTCAAAGATCTGATAGACATTTCCTTACAACACTTCATTTTGCATCTTTCAGATTTCCAGAACACGGCTCTGTATCGGTCATTTGGACTGTGAAAAAGCCTTAGAAAATGAGTATATAAAGGCTGAATCAATTCCTCAAGCACAGTGAAGAGAACTAATTTGAATATGAAGACATATATTCAAATGCGGTCTACATTTGAACTTTTTTTTTTGGCTTGGTGTTATTTATAACCCGGGTACCAAACAGGTCAGACTTCAGGAAGCAAGGCACCAGTAGCACCTCAGAAATGCCTGTGTTGCATGCATCCCACAGGGCCGAACTGAGCGTAGAGGAAAAGGAACCCAACTCGGGCAGAACTTCTTAAGTAACTGGTAAATCTGTAAGACGCTACCTTGTTTTACTTTTTCCTCAGTTTCTTGCCAAAAGTCACTTCATCTCTGTTCCTTATGCCGTAACTGTGCAAAGAAAAGAGAGAGAGTTTTCAGGACAAAGCTCTGGGGTTCCACACAAAGAACTCTCTCTGAGCAAACCTGAAAGTGAGGTTATTCCACACAGCTTTACCTCTCAACAAAATAACACAATCTCCACCCCCGCCTGCTGCTGTCTCCTTTAAAACCCAGTAGCAACAAAGCACCTGGGATGGTCTGGTTCGAATGAGCCCTAAACCAATCGGTTATCTGCACATCGCCACATTCTGCGATACATAATCCACTGTTGTGTCCCTCGCTTCACAGCTCACAGAGCACAGACACTCACACTCATCAGCAATGCCAGGGAAGGGGAATGTTTGTTTTTACTTACTCCTTCAGCTTCATTTTGTCGTCTTCCAGCTTCTCCCCGTTGAAGATTAAGTGATAGGTTCTCCACACGTACCTCCTTGAAAAGGCAGAAATCGGAAAGGACGAGCGATGAAGTTTACCTCGCACAATTACGCACAGGATGTGAAAGAAAGATCAATGTTAAAATGACCCTACAGTGATGTCTGACTTTAAAGTAATTCACGCTTCAGCGTCTTATCCCAGAGTTTTTACAAAAAAAGCATGCAGGATCTCTAGTATTTGACCATGTTGTCAAAAGGAAAAATTCCCCCGACTCCAGTCTAGACCGTTTTATTGTATTTTTCGACTGCAGGACACTCTACCAGCTGATGTGCTTCACCCCTCCTTCACGCTGCTGTTTCAGCTCCAGGTATCTGCGGATGGCTTTCTTCAGATCCAGCACGGAGGCGTTCTGCACCACCACGATCGCTGCAAGAAAGCACCGCTGTCTGAAAAAGAATCCCTCCTCTCATTTTCAAGTTTTCTTACGATCTTTAACTACCTCAACCCAGAGGGTCGATGAACCTGTCCTACACGCCTGTACTGAGTAGCTTAAATCACTCCGGAGTCGCTTTCACATCTTGTGGTTCACTAATGACTGTGAATTCAAACAGCTGACAGCCACTGGGCCTGACCAAGTCAGTGACCCAACAACCCCACAGAGAAGCATCTGGTTGCCTGATTTCCTGCGGATCATACAACAGGTTAAGAGGGGGGAAAAAGCCAAGAAACAAAAACTCGTGACTCACGCATGACCTCCCCGTCGGCCTTGCAGACACGCACAGTCATAGCCTGGCCATACTCCAGAGCCACCTGAGAGCTCACCTCCTCCAGAGTGACCTGGAGTGACAGAAAGCCAGGCAGGAGGGTTCAGCTGTGGAACGCTCAGTCCCGAGTCCCAGAGGGTCGTGGGTTTGAAGGGTTTCAAAGTCATATTGGGTTATTCCCCCACCCCACCCCAGCTTCACAGCTTTCACACTTTTTCTATGCTGCAGCCACACGTGCCCTCCAGTTTCATGTCAGACAGGGATTGCTGCCAAATCTGTCTTGCTGGGTTACACAGCTTATCCAGGATCCAGAAGCCGACGAGGCAGATAAACCAACCTGTATCGGCAGGTCGCAGAGCAGGGGGTCCTGCACTATCTGAGCCAGACCCTCCTCGAAGATGTCCAGGAACTCCGCGTGGGGCAGGGCTTCCTCATCTTCCTCTTCCTCCTCCTCCTCGACTTTTTTGTCCTCCGTCTCTAGCTCTCCGGTCTGGTCCTCCTCTTTCACCGCCGCTCCTGCACCGAGACCCGGGGAACCTGTCTCCACCGCCTCGGCCATCAGCACTCGGGGGGATGAACACACAGCGGGGCCGAGTAGACCTTAAAACAGGCCCTCCATTCAAACCCACACCGGCGGACTGCAATGAACAGACTCTGTGTGCAACATGACAAGGGGTCATCACTCATCACGGCCAGACGAGAAGAATTTTAAATCAATGCTTAATGGTTGCACTGAACACAACTCGGTCTATCATGAATCAACTAGATCAATTCTGACAAGTATATTCACGTCAAGTCCAGTTATTGCAGAGTATTCATCACACCTCCAAAGAAAAACCGCCACCTTTATAAAATGAGACGCTAAATAGCACTCACCACTGCTTCTCCTCCGCTGTCTTCCAAAACGGACGCTTAAACAATTCTCGGGTCCGTTCATTTTCACTTCCCCGGAGAAACTAGGCGACTCTTGTACCTAGGACACTGATACTCACAAATATGGAATATGCCATAGACAAAAAGTAACCTAATACATTTATACATTACCTAATATATTTCTGATTTGATAGTGGTTTAAACTGTTAACAGTTTCGACCACAAATGCGACTCGTTTGCAGGCGCTGTGGGAACTGTCTGAGTCAGGAATTGTTTCCTAGCGGACACTTAAAACTGCGTGACACGGGAGAGTTTGCGGCGTGCACTTTGAGGAATTCGCGAAAAACTCGTCTTGAGGTTCGAAGACGTCTTTTTCAACAAATACAGTTGTTTTTCTTCTGAGATAGGAGATGTTGCTGTTTTGTCCGACCTGTGGAAATGTCTTGATTGTGGAAGAAGGGCAGAAGTGTTACAGGTTTGCGTGTAACACCTGTCCCTATATACACAACATAACTAGGAAGGTAAGAGAGTCGACAAGGCTCTTGTTACATTGCGTAGGGTCGCTATCATCGTGCCTGAGTCGTATACTTTAGTATTTTAAGACGTTTGTTATATTTTAATAATTGCGTTTGCTCATTGGGTATAAATGCGTCACAAGCAAACATATTAAGCGGTCCAACTATGATGCAGCTTTTTGCTAACATTGTGCATCATTTTGTTAACAGCCGCGTACAGCGTCTTTCTTTTTTTTCAGATGGGATTCATTTCTCTTACATTTTTTCCCCACTATCTCGAGTCAAGCGCAGTAGTTGGGCTGTACCCCCCCCCCAGTGGCTGAATCTTCCTGCTGCTCCTCCTTCACGAGGGCAGCCGAATCCTGCGTGAAAGTAAAATCGTTTAATGAGTTTGTGGAAACCTGGTTTAACCCCCGCCCACCCTGGCTGAGGGCTACCCTCCCGGCCATGGGGCGAGGAGACTAAGACCCCATGCCCGGTGAAAAGGTGACCAAGGTGTAGTTGCACAAGCAAAGATGGGGATGGAGGAGTAGGGATGCGAAGCGAGCGAGGGAGACAACAGAGTGGCGTGGGGTATATATGGGAATCTGAGAATTTATGGCAGGATTAGTTGCGTGTGGAGTTTAATTAGTTTAATTTAATGGCGCTATGCGTGCGCCTCCGAGAGTATTCTCATGGGCGAATGTCACCTGAAAAAAAAAAAGACCATCGGGACCCCTATAATCTGGGCGAAAGGTCTAGAAGGTCTGCAGGGCGGGTGGTGCTCTGCGTGTAAGACACCCGTCTTGCTCGTCTTCCTGACGCAGCGTGTTCTCGATGCTGTAGGTCACCAACAGAAAGTACCCCAAACTGAAGGAGGTTGATGACGTTCTGGGCGGCGCTGCGGCCTGGGAGAATGTGGATTCCACTCCAGGTAATGTCACTCGAGAAAGGGGAAAACAAATCCCCGTTTTTCGTTATTCGTTGTCTAGTGCAAATGTGCCGTGGGCCAAAGATGGGGAAAATCCCGCATTTTTCCCGAGGTGTCCAGTGGTGCGAGTCAGGAAGTCCGGTGCCAATCCTACACCATTTTGTCATCTGCTACCTCTGGTGTCTTCTTTCCAGAGACCTGCCCGAAGTGCGAGCACCCCCGAGCCTACTTTATGCAGATCCAGACCCGTTCGGCAGATGAGCCCATGACCACCTTCTACAAGTGTTGCAACCAGCAGTGTGGGCACCGCTGGAGAGACTGAACGCCGCAGGGACCGGCCCTCGCCTCGCTGTCTGATCCCCCGCTGTGTGTTAAACCTCTTAGAACAGGCATGCTGGCCGTCCCCCCCCCAGGTTAGCGGCCATCGGAAATTCTCATGTGTACTCCAAGTGAAGGAGCCATGCTAAGTTTTTGAACAAATAATTAACGGTCCTGTGGCATCTAAAGAATCACTTCGTTGAAGTGATTCAGGATCCCCAGCCGAGATATAGCAAAAACACCGTAGGGCTGCAATTGAAACATGACACTTGTCTGTCTTGAATATTCCCAGGGAAGTTCTTGGTGTTGGATGCTGAAAGGGCTCTGAGGAATGAGCAGACAGCCTGTTCTGTGCCAGACAGACCTGTTGTGGAGTAGCTCTGGTTGTAGTCGTATTAAGCTATTTAATACGTGTATATATTTGAACAAAGTTCACCGCACTGAAGAGATTACCGGGTGAAATATGAGAGGAAATGTGAAGCTGTCATTCTTTTACAGGTCTTGAAGTGAGCAGAATAAAACTGTGTCGAGTGATCCTGTGTTCAAAACCGCTGGTCATTCAGAACCAACATATTCTTAGAAAGCTAAAGGAAAGAGGCTGGTTCTCGCTTTGCTTTTTGTTTTTATTGTTAAAAGAATAATTTAGTATCCAGTGCAGTAGTAGTGGAGCAGCTCGCATGGCTCATCTTACGCAGCAGTGTAATTTACATGGCAACACAGATAGAAACAGAGAATACCGGTGACTGGATTGAAGGTGATCTCATTGTCTTTTCCTAAAAAAATACTTGTGCACTTCAACCCACCTTTAACATCACAGCCTTTCCACAGCACTGCAAGCCACTTCACATTGCGTACAGAGAGGGCTGGAGCGTACAATGTCAAAGGAGGCCAGCCTGCTTTTGCAAAATATCCATAAGAAGCTCGAACATGCACTGCCATGGGACATTTACGATATATCATCAATTCATTTTTACTAGCTGCAGCCGATAGGCTTTTTCAGACTTTGAAACATGCTAGGTAGTTAATAGCATAGTTTAAAAAATAGAAATATACTGGAAATAAACATACCTAAAAAATGTAATTAGAATGGAATAATTAAGGTCTGAATGGCCGACAGAAGCAACAATGTATTTTTCATTGAGTGCTTACTGGCAGGTGGCTCCACGGACAAACCACAAATCTTTTTCTTTACCACATTCAAAAGGTTTTGCACCCTGCAGTGTTCCTGCTTGATATCATTGGGCATTTGTGAAGAGGCTTGATCCTTGACACTTGGTCAAAGTTGCGTAATCCTGCACATTGGTGGCGGTGGAGGGGAGTCCCCATTACCTGTAAAGCGCTTTATAAGTGTAAGCAATTATTATTTTATACCAGGAAGCAGAGTTTCATCAAAACAGCTACTTTGTGAGTGTAGTGAAAACATTAAGAAAAAATGTGAAATGCTACATATGTATTTCACCCAGACATAAGCAAGAACTTAACGCATTTCATACCATGACTTGTGGCAGTCAGACAGAACCAATAAAGTTATTCCTTAACAGAGTTGGTGCTTGGAATTATCTTATTGGTCTAAATGTCATCTAATTTTATGGCGAAGAAACTACTGAAAACCCTCTTTATTCAACACACTGCATAGGACTGGAGTGAAGAACACGTTTCCTATCTCGCGCCTGTGAAGAACATGCATCTGTGCTAGTCTGCAGTGATGCAAGTGGACCCGGTGACAGCTATGTGACACAGCATTGTGCAAGAAAGATTCTGTTAGCGGAATGGATCAGAGGCTCCAGAACAGCAGCTTACAGTACACTAGGTGGACACAGAGGTAAGAGCAGCTGGCGGGTCGTGCTGGTGTATCGCTGTCATCATATCCAGAAACAACAATGCTGGAGCACAGGGCTAAAGCAGCTTTCTTCTAAAACAACTCAAGGATCACAGTCCTAGAAACCTAGTCTTTGTCCTGGAAAGCATGTCAGAAAAGCACTACAGAATCTCTCTTTCAGTGATAGCAGGGCTAAAATAGCTCACACTTTTACTGCACTTTCCCAGTGGCAGCATGTAAATTCATCAACAGTGAGTGAAAACAAGCACACTGGGACTACAACACACACATGAATTCCAGAGATGGTCTGTGAGGAAAGGAGAAAGGAGGAAAAAAAGGTGATGCAAACAGCACAGAAAGTGAATAACCCTTAACTACCGGCAGAGAGAATTCAGCCTGCAACTTAATGAATTAAAGGGAATAATACTGATTGAGCTTCTGAGTGCCAGTTTGGTGTCAAGGTAGCATTCAGTAATGCTGCTTGAGTAAAAGGCTTTCTGATTAATACATTGGGTACAGATGACAGGCAGGAGACGTTCTCCATCTGAACTTGAGTGGGGTTTCCCCGATGTATGCCTGCAAGTGCAGTTCCTGCTATGCGGGCCGTGACACTCAACTCGTCTAAAAGATCAACTTGTCTATTTCAGGTAAAAGTAATTCTTCTGAAAAAAAAACATTTGAAATACAGTATAACTGTACATCTACAGTCTGATTCAAATCCAGGCATCATGGATCACAGATTACAAAGCTAAACCAACTACAACGGACCAGGGCACTGACCCTTTTGTACAAAAATGACATAAATGCACACTTAAAAGCAATGCGATAGGATGCTTCACTCATCTCTTCCTTATCAACTGATTATAAATTGAAAGCGTTATCAGACAGGATGTCAAACCCCCTTCTGTCGGTATAGCAATGAGCAGAAGCAGAGAGAAGCTGACGGCAACAGAAATTTCAATCGCAAACACGGGCCAGGCATGTGACCGAGGAATAACTGGCGTAGGATTATAATTACGTCATGCACTGGTGCAAGAAAGCAAAGCAGCTCTTATGCTAATTACTTGTCACAGCAGAAAAGCTCTTTGCTGACTCACTGTTTGCTCTCTGCTGAGTCATTTCTATGAAAGGTATCTACAGCAGCTGCCTCATTAACGCCAAATAAATGTAAATTAAATTAATGCTTTGGGTAAACAGCAGTTGACAAATATTGTGCCAGATTAATGTGCATTCACAGAACTGAGAGAAATATGCAGCTAACACAAGCTAATCGGGGAAGAAATTGAAAATAAGCTACTGCAGATAATGTTGTAAGCCTTTTAACCATTTAAAACTAATTATAATGTAAATAACGTTAACACTGAAAACTTACCACCAATCATTTTAGTGACTTTAAAAAAATAAATAAAACGACTGCCTTTTCCACAGGGCAGATCAGTTTTAAAAATAAGGGCTAGTTTTAAACAAACTGTTACACGCATTTATCTTACGATCCAGATCATTTTTGCTCCTGTATCTTTTTTGAAAAGATGAAAAACAAAACCAGACCCCCTCTACTACCCCGTCACCACATAAAGAAGAATTGTGGGTGTCCCTGATTAAACACGTTTACACAGAACCAAGATACATCTGAACAGGTGCATCATTAAAACCCCAAATTCCCAAGGACCAGGAACTGAACACAAACTACTGCACACCCACCTCATACAACTCCTGTAATGACGGATCTGCATGGTCCTTCCACTAGTGCAATCATTTTCGATTGATACTTGCGTAAATATTGTGAGTGTTAGAAAAACATAAGATGAATGGCAAAATACAGTTTCATTTATACTTTTCTGCTCCCATACCGATGATCTCTGTGTCTCTGTTGAAGGACACAATACTACTTACTTGACTAAATCAATGGCAACAACGCACCATTAAGCTATAGATACTGCTTCCATAAACAGCACCGTACACTGCCCCTTGTCTACTGGGCCTGCTCCTCTATTAACAAGAAACTCTGAACTACAGTCAAGCTGCAGAACAGATAACTAACAAGCATATCACAAACCTCACCCTCTGAATTTCTCACAACGTTACGGGAAACTGCTCTAAACTCTTCCTTGTACTTTCCTCATTAGTTTCCATCTACATTGTAATCAACAGCCTAGTGCGGGTTCACTGCACAGGCCCTTTTGCAGAGGACGAAGACCTCTACGCCTTTTAATGCCCTTACCGAAATAAAAACAATCACGGTTAAAGTGCTAACGCAAGAATCAGACTCTTTTCCCGGAAACGCTGACTTGTCACATTGTGCAAATGTATTCTGTCTTTCTCCTGCTGCGACCGGGGAGGCTGCACGCAGTACGTCTGCAACTGTGCAGCTCCGCTTGTATCAGCAGCTACTGCTACCTGCTGACAGTCAGTGCTACAGTAACAGACATCTCATTGAAATCACCTAAAACGCTTCATTTTAGCTACTTTAAGCGAGCCACATGGCTGTTTATCACCCAGAAGGTGGCTCTGGAGTTCAAAGGAACCCTCAGCTGAACCTGCAATGTTAACATTCAGACAAACTGTTATCCTTCTACTTCCAACAGCATACTACCTTAAGAGAAAAAGTCCCAATATGGTACTCTCTGTGGCTGCTATAATTAGTGTAAGAAAAAAAAGAAGCTCTTTTTCACTCGAGTTCACAATTTTAAAATCTCTTATAACCATTTTGTTTTAAAAAATTGTGATTTAGAAATCTTCCCGTTAATCTTCCAGTCCACAATAAAGATGTTTAATAGCACCACACTAATTTAGTCAAAGTGCCCTTCTGCTGACTGTGGCATGTTCAGAGGTAATCTCCCACCTGAAAGCCCATCACAAAGATCACCAATAGTATAAAAAACCTCCACCACCCATTTTCTTCAGGGCCTTTTTTTCAGACGTGTGACTCTTCCAGTGAATTGCCCAGTCAATTAAGATCTTAATTTCTGCACATATGCATATATATATGTATATACATAGAAATGCATACATGCATATTAAATGCAGTACAGCTACCTAAAAAAACATCGCAGGGACTGTGAATGACTGAACATAAAGGACTGTAACTACCACAGACAAACTCAGACATTCCACTAGGGGGAGCTGTGACCACAGACGTAGCCCTGTTAGCACATGCGCTTGTATGTGTAGATGTAGCCCTTGCAGTAGGGGCAGGTGTGCGTCACGTCCTTGAGGTTGTCCATCAAGCAAGGGATCAGACAGCAGCCCATGTTGCAGCTGGGGAAAGGAAGACAAGGCAGAGGACAGTGAGGGGAATTCTTCCACGAACTGAACAGCTTCACAGCTCAATTGAGGATTTAGGGCACAACCAGTTCAACCCTGCACTCATCACACACTACTGTAGCACTACACACTACCAGCCACCCGCATGCAGCAGACTGAAGATCGTGGACTCTGTTCTGCCTTCACTGGGTTCACGTGGCCTTGCAGGGAAAGAAGACACTGGCAGGAGCCAAGAAGAGATTCGAGGAGCCCTACTCCTTTGATACTTTGATGTTTAAGTGGACTGAGCGGGGTGGGGGGGTCTCTTACCCCAGGAAGCAGCAGAAGAGGCAGAAGAGCATGTTCATGAGGCCGATGTCGTAGGAGACCCTGGTGACGATGGGCTGCTGGCAGTGCGGGCACACGGTCTGCACGGACACCTCCTGGAACATCTCCCCCTGCAGCACGGTCACGGTGGTGGCAGCGCCCGGCGGCACGATCACGGTGGCCGTGTGGCCCCCTGGGGCGGGGTAGTGCCCCGGGCTCGGCGGGTACTGTCCCGGGATGGGCTGGGGGAACTGCCCTGGGGGCGGGTAGAACCCAGCTGCAGGGGGAAACGGGAGGAGAACCTGCAGTTTAGTAGCTTCCCATACTAGCCCCTATACAGCCTACCAGCTGCTTCCCAAGCCTGTCGCCCCAGCGAGGAGTTCAAGAGGCCGGCGCGCCCCCCAGATTGCTGTAGTTAGGGTTTTGGACACCCCGAGTATGGAAGCCCACGGCTGGAGTAGATCACTTTACTTTACTTTAGATTTCTTTGCCCGTCGTGCCAAAGCCATCGCCGGCGGCTCAGACGCAGTTCCGCAGATAACGACCCTTCTTCACTGGACTGAAACCCCCCGGCTTAATCCTGCCGCCTGCCACCGACCGGGGGGAGGGAGACGCACCTTGGGGGGGCTGGGGCATCGCCCCGGCTCCGGGAACGTGGGGGGGAGGGAAGCCAGGCTGAGACACGGCCTCGTAGGGCGGGGGGGCGTCTTCCGGTGGAACGGGGGGTCCCTGCACAGGAGCCGCCATCTCGGGAACAGGCCCTGAGCGCGAGAGGAATACAGCATGAGCCAGGCAGCGACGCCCCCCTGTGCGTGCACTCCGCCGCCTCGCAGCCCTGTCAGCCCAACTGCGGCTCCTGCGCCCTGGAGCTGCCCTCCGTCCCAGAGGGCCCGGACTGGCTCCTCAAGCAGCTGACCGTGCGGTAGGCAAGAGCAGCACGGCTCATTTCAGTACAGGCTCGAGCTCCTCCAGTCAGCACTGCCCGGCTGACCACCTGCAACCGAGAAACGGGCAAGACAGCGGCCTGAATCTTGCAAGAGACTGGATCGCACTGGACAGGCAGCTAGCCCACGAGCCCGGAGGGATTTTGGATTTCAGTTGCGCTGCTGTACAAAACTGCGACGATGCAAAATCCCCACTTGTCCCCCTGCCCCTGAGCAGTATGCATTTAAAAAAACAAAATGACTGATTGTTTTCCAGACACCAAGGTCTCTTTTAAGCTAGCAGAGTGATAAAACAGCCCCCAAATCCTCTTGACATCAGTATGTACTATAGAAGAAAGGTTTCTTTTCACCAGTACAAAATTAACATACTTCAGTGGAGCAGTGATGTTTTTTAAAAGTAAATGGGTTTGGTTAATACTGTCCCCTTCTACATCACTGTTATCCCAGCATGACCCGGAAGTCGTACCTGGGACAGGTGGCGTGCCGTTCTTCTCTTCGATGGGGGGAGCACTGGGGCCCCCTGGGTAAGGAGGTGGGGGGTCACTGGACATCCTCACGCGTTGGCACAGCAAAGACCTGGAAAAAGACCCAAAACGCTGCTCTAGGTCTACCCTTTGCACAGGTATCAAGTCCTCGCGAGGCCAGTGGGGTCTACTGGCTGCTGGGATACTGTGTGGAGATGTTTCTCCACACTGTCAGGCCTCGAGCACACACAGCTCTCCGCGGAGGGTGGGAGGAGACTGTGAAGCCCCCTGCGCTGTGGCAGTGACCCCCCCTCTGCTCTTCTTCACTCCTGCCACAGCTGTCACCTGCAGAAGACTCGCAGGCAGAGACCGGACCCCTGCCCCCAGTGCTGACTGGGAAGCCCCTTTGTGATGTTTGAAGGCCAATGGGAAATAAGCAAAGAAACTACAAAACTCGGCAAGCCTGTCCTGATGTTTGTGGGGTTATTCATGTCTGAGAAACCAAATCTAGGCACGAAATAGTAGAGCACAAAATAAGGAAATCTCACTACTGCTTCATGAGGCCCTGAGCCCCAGCAGGATTACAAGAGCGCTGTGAAACTTGAACTCCGCACACAGCGATAATAGGAGGCCACTGTGCCAGCAGTACGAGGCGGATTCAGTTGATGCACACCGAGCCTCCACTGGGGACAGAGAAAAACACATTGTATTTTTCGATAACGTAAATCCGTAGCCTGTTTACATTTCCACCCAGGTACCCTGGAGAAGAAGAAGAAAGGGGAAATGACCTGCAGATAACGGGGAGGCCTTGGCAGTCCGACCTGCTTCACGGGCTCTCTCTCTCTCTGGTCCACCCTCCTGTCGGGAAAAGAACAAAACACAGAGCGTGGAATAGCGGGGGGAAAAAAAAGACATTCTCAGTTTCTGGACCTGGGAGAGCTGGAACAAAAGCTGCGCTCGGAAGCAGGAAGCAGCGCCGGGTCATTCCACCCAACTGCATTTCAGCACCAGCTGCATTGAACTTATTCCTTTGCGCAGGACGAACCTGCACGGGCAGCGCTTCACAGACCAACAGAGACTGCCAGAGGCCTCTGATCTGGACGGATCCCACCGTGCCAGCAGTCTCCATGAAGGACATAAGACAAAGTACACTCTTCAGTGTGCTGCTGTATTAGTTTGCACTGATGTGAGTACCGTCAGCGACTATAAGAAGCCTCTCGAGAGCCTGTTTCCTTTGATCCTTATATGCTTTTACTTTGCCAGGCAAGTGAATTGAGAATAAATTATTTATTCTGAGAATTGAGAATAAAGTTTAGACCACAAGGCTTCTCCTGGAGCAGTCTGAGTGAACTACGGTGGACACTCAAAGCTAGTGAGGTTCTGTCACTCTGAACCCCAAGATCCTTCAGTCCGGAGTCCAGAGCCCGGACTGCAGCTCCAGGCGGCCAGCTGTCTGGCTCCTCACATCGCTTTGCATTTGCTCACAAAAGGTCATAGAAGCCAGAAGCCCTTCCCAGAAGCACCGGGATCGCACCCTGGACAGAACACACACACACACACACGCACGCACGCACAGGGACAATCAAGAGACACCCGGTAACTCATCCAGTTTGCATTCTGGAAGGTGGGAAGTCACCGCAGAACCCTGAGAAACCCCTACCAACACAGAGGGAACATGCAAACTCCACACCGACAGTGACTAAGCCCATTATCAAACCAAAACAATCAGCTTTAAAGATGAGTAAGTCTGTATCCTCTGCAGTGCATTCTACCAAGACACCTTACTGTAGGTGTCATCCAGAAGGCCCAACACACAGCGATGCGAGGTCTTGCCTACAGACTCCGGCTCTCTCGGATATCCCCCCTCAGAGCACGCCATGCTTTTCATGGCTGATCCTCGGCTCTAATCCTGCATTCCAGGCCAGCAGGCCGTTAGCAAGAGCCCTTCTCCGTCAAGGCCAGCAGGCACAAAGCCCAGAGCAGTGAGGACAAGCAGACGCATCTGCAAAACGTGCGAGTACACAAACTGGAATGAAGAAGACACAGACAGAAACATTACAGTGGAGTGGAAAGGACATGAATAAAAAACCGTGCAAGGGTTTTTATTTTTTTTTATATTTTTTGGGGGGGGGGGTATTAGGCATAAATCAAAAATTAGGATTTGTGTATGAATGGAAGATGAAGGATAATTTCAAATGAAAATCCCAATGTCCTCTACCTTCTCATAGACTACAGGTAGGCGTCAGAGACTTGAGCCAATTAACTGACTCAATTGATCACAACTCACATGCGTTCCAACAAATTGTTGATTTAAGGATGATGTGCTAATGTGAGGGTACTGTATGTGGTTATCCAGCACCAGGACTGGGTCCCACCGCCTCGAAAGGTAAACTATCCTGGTTTATATTGACCAATATCATCCACACGCCTTAACCTGACACGGCCCGCAGGGATTGTAGTTCTCAGCGCGGTTAACAATCCGTTAGGAACACCTCACCAAAAAACTACAACATCCACCAAGACGGGGCGCCGCAGTGGTGTGTGGGAAATCGAGTTCCCCGGGTTCGCCAGCAGTTGCCGAGCAACTGGAGCTGAGCTTAAACAAACTACAAGACCCAAGCGCCCGGCTAGAGAACAATATAGACGCCTCAAATGACAAGGGTTCGGAACCAGTATAACGTTTTTTATTCATTTCACACGCAACCCGTATTATTATACATGCGAGGTGGGAAAATAATCTATTTTGTCGTCCCTACATGTGTGGTATTTTTTTTTCTAAAAAGCATAACTCCGTATCCTTATAAGAAACGTTCACCACAACCTGAAAATGAAGGCGAAGAGCATCGTTCGAGCTTTTGCGCCGTCTTGTTATGATGCAATAAAGGGATTCAATCCTGGTCTTACCGTAAGTGCACAGCGCCCGTATTTCCATTATTATTTTTTTGGGTGCGTGAAAACTAAAATTCTTCAGAGCGCTGGACGAGACCTGGGAGGTTTCCAGGGCCGGTAAATTCGCCTGCCGCTACCTAACGGTCTTCCAAAAGCAGCCGGATTAAATGCTCATCGCCCAAGCACCAGCCTAAATCTGGCCAGTGGACGCACAGACACAACAGCCCTCCTCCCGTTCCCCAGCCCCGCTCTGCCAGGGGAGGGGGGTATTTACCTGCTCCGGCGGCTCTGCTGTGGAGACGGGCTCAGGTCCGGTCGGATTGCCCCTGTGCAGCCGAGCTGTAATCGCGCCCGAACCTGTGCGCAGCATTTGAGGATTTGACGTAACAGATCAACAATTGGAAAGCACGCAGGAGAGACGGGCGCCGTGCACAGCACGTACCCAGGGCACGCCGCCGCCGCCGCTAATTATTAATTATGATTGTTGTTTTTATTATTATTATTCTCTTTCTCTAGTGTTACTGGGTACAGCTGAACGAGTAAGCTTTCCAGTACACTTGTTGTACTTGAATCTTGTTGTTGTTGTTGTTGTTGTTGTTGTTGTTGTTGTTATAACTGGTCTTCATTTGTGTTCTGTTTAAATCCTGTTTAAGTCATTACACTGTACACATCTGTGTCCCGAATACATTTAAAACCCATCGCAAGATTTAACTGGAGAATGTTGTATCCCTTTGCAAAAAAGGCACCACAGAAGTCCAAACATCCCAAACTGGAAGAGACACTCTCCTCCAGCTTATTTTAATGTTTTCATTTTAAACAAAAAAGTCGTCTCTCCAGCATCGGTAACTGATAGGACACACAGTCCTTTAGCCTGTCTCAACAGCCCGTCTTTCATGTCCAGGAAGAAAAGGACAAGTGACATCCTCACCGCCGGCTCTCAGAGGCCGCTGGGGCGCCATGGCAACGGGCAGTTTCCCTGGGGGGGGCACGTTAGCGAGTGGGTGAGTCCCTGGGTTGCGGGTTCGAGCCCCTGCGGCAGACACTGCTGTTGCAGCTCTTCGTGTCCTTTAGTTCACAACTCCCCACCCCGCTGTCTGGACGGGAACGAGCAGGGCTGCTGTGGACTAGCGTCCCATCAAGTTCTGGCTTTTCATTCTGTCTGCAGGAGGACTGAGCCGCCGAATTCTGCACCCCAGTTTCTCAAGTGCATCCCAGGCCAAAGTCTGTGTCACGGGAGCTGTGTGGCCAACTCGGGGGCCAAAGGCGGGCACTGGTGTCCCGTTGCTCTGCCTGTCCTGCGGTCCCAGGAGTCCGGGGGCACCGGGCCCAGCTGCGCGACCGGCTGGCGGCTGGTGGCAGCACGTGGGCGTGAGAGGCCACAGGGGTCAGCGGCCCCAGCGCCGGCTCCCAGGCCAGGGCCCAGTCTCGCCACGGCCAGCCTGAGCGGGCAGGGCCCAGGCATGGGGCCGCTGACAGGAAGTGGCCGAGCCCTTGTCGTCCTGTGGCCTGGGCACGTTAAAGACAACCCAGCCCTCCCCCCCCAGAGAGAGCCCGGATCCCCAACTTCCTGTGGGGCAGAGCTGACTTTGTTTGGGGTGTCTGTGTGCCTTCTGCTCCCCAAACAACAATAATAATAATCTGGGGGAGAATAGAACTCCCAGTGGAACATAACAAGTCTCTTTAAAAAGGTGAGGGTGTATTATTTATTCTTCTATTATTATTATTATTATTATTATTATTATTATTTGCACTGACAGTACGTGCGGACTGCGGGGGAATTAACGAACAGGCTAGCATAGGCTGTAGCCTAGGGCCCCCGGATTGGCCGGGTTATTTTTTTAAACGGACCTGTGGGCCCCCATTGGTCCATAAAAACGTTGAATCATGCGTGAACCAATGACTGGTTCGATGCAACGGGTTCGCAGTTCAAATGTATTTCGGCGGATTCGTCGTTGATCAATCTGGTGCACGTTTACGGTAGCCAGCCTCACAATGTGCGATAGAAAATATGACAGCGGGCCGCAAAGGCTTAAAGCAGGGCGGTTGAAAGAGCCGTGTGAGCAGGCTCTACTGAAAAAGATCCCCAGAGCGACTGGTTATTTCACGTTTGCTGAGCCGAACCCCGATCCTGGGTTGGCGGCTAACGGTGCAGCCAGGGCCACAGCAAGCGCGGTTGAAAAGTCACAGTAGCTGCAGCTACAGTAGCCCTGGCCTGGGCGCACACTGGGCTCATGAGGACGAGCAGCTCCCGCGACGGAGCCAGAGGCAGAGCCGTCCGAAACGCCACCGCCGTCCGCCGCCATGTCCGAGCCGCCGCCGTGCTGGTGCACCTGCAGCTCCCGCTGCCTACAGCTCGGCCCCAGCGTGCTGGGGTGAACCAGGTGGACAGCGGCGGGCATGCCGGGCTCAGTTGGGCCCGGAATCGCGTCAAAACCGAGACGCGGATGTTGCAGCATCGGAAAGACCACATCAACACTGAGAGGTATTTCTCTAAAACCCTCTTCAGAAGAAAACTCTGAAACGGCGAGTGTGTGCCGAGAGGATGGCTGCCGTATCCCCTTCGAAAGGTACAGTGTTTTGTACGCAGTGCCGGTTGACATTCCGTTTGAATCGGCTGGAGCGGCCGAACTCGTCACTGAATTATTATAGTATTTTCTCTCGCTTTTTTTCTGGTAACGAGATGATGGGGGGGGATACACAACGTGTAGCCTAGGAGCCTCTGATCACATCCGCCACTGCGTGCAGTACATTTACAACGCAGAACGAATACAAAAGCCGTTTTATTAAGCAGCCAAAATAATTAACGGGTGCAGATGCGACTGGTCTAGTGAACTCTTGTTGGCCACTAGGGGGCTCCGAGGAATATGGGCCCTGTCGGAGCCTGTAGGTCAGTTTTTTTAAAAGAAAAGAGAGAAATGCTCGTGTAGTATTGCTATGTAATTCAATCAATGTGACTAAATCCGGGATCGGCGGTCCCACACGGAAGCTCTCGTCGCGGGATCAGAAGCCCTTTGGGGAAAAGCTCCTGTACCGGCTCTGCCTAATGAAAGCCGTCTGCCTGCGTGACGCGCCGAGCCCCAGTGTCTGCATTCTTGTGAATTAATCTGGGAAGGGCGGCCGCAGCCCCGTTGTTTTCAATGAAAACACTCGCCGTGACTTCCCTGTTCCGCGGGCGGCTCTGAGTCACGGCACGGGGCTGAGGAGGGCTGGGCTCCCACTTCTGCAAAACTTCCTCGCCTTGCGCCGTCAGCGCTCAGGTCCGCGGTGACCCCACTTCCCCTGCCCTGCTCCGGGGGGGGGGGGAGGCTGTCGGTCTGCTCAGGACAGCAGGAAAGCTCGCCCTCCGGGTGCCCAGCCAGCGGGTCAGCTCGGAGGGGCGCCTCACCAGACGGGGACCCCCCCCCTGCTGTAGCTGCGGCGGCGGCCGGCCCGGGGAGCCCCGGCTCCGACGGCCGCTGAGCGCCTTGGCTCACTCCGATTTGCACAAGCTTCTGCACGTCCCGCCCTGCTCCCCTCCCTAAGTGAACTCCCCAAGTTGAAACTGAGGAAAAGCAGGCAGGGCAACGTAAAAGGCTGCGCAGGGCACAGAATAAAAGAAGGAATGACTATTAGGAATGTTCTACCAGCACCGCTGGGAACACGGGCGGGAATGGGTACTGCCTTTCGCCTTCCTTTGCAGAAACCAGGGGTCAGGGCCGAACGCTCTTCATGGGGGGGGGACTAGAGAGAACACCCCTGTTTTTCGTGAGCGCAACCGTGAAAGAAAAAGCCAGCAAAAAGGCTACCAACAGGTTTCCCTGCCATCTTCACCGGGACCGAGCTGGGCTCGGAGGAGGAGGAGGAGGAGGAGGAGGAACACGCTGGCACTGCTGTGCCGATCAGGCTGCCCCTCCGGGCCCCTTTCAGCATCTCCCTTCCCGAGGGGCTTACCGCCCGTAGCGGAGCCCAGAATGGAGGCATTGATGGACGAGTCCTCAACTCCTTTTCTAAAGAACGGAAAAGGGAGAGGGGAAACCCCCCCCCTCCCCCCCAGCTGGCCCTCGCAGCCCGGCCCTGTGGGGAGAGCGTTGCTGTCGACGAGCCCCGAGCGCCGGGGCCGCGGCCTGTTCTCACAGAGCAGGGGTGACGTAGCGGGAACAGGCAGCTGGGCTCCCTCGCTCCCGCTCAAGCGCAGACAGGCCCGGGCTGCGGGGGGGGGTGGCCAGCGCGTCAGTGTGTGTCTGTCCCCGCCTGGAGGGGAGCATGAATGAAATTGAATCTGCTCGGGGGATGACATCACCTTCCTGTCTGACACATCCAGTCCCCGTGCCATCCAGCCAGACGGAGCCATGGGATAAGACCGCGGCCCCGCGTCACTGACGCATCGAGTCACTGCTCACGACGGGGGGGGTGCGCTGGGAGAGAGGGGGGGTGGGCACACAGTTGTGTAATGCTGGGATAGCTGGTAGCAAACTTGACAACTAACCTTCATCAGTCAAGCACTCGGCACAGTTGAGCACCCCTGCGCTCTCACCCTGAGCTGCCAAACACACGGCAGCCCTGCGCTCTGTATGGCACCCAACGTAGCTCTCCAGCTGATCTTTAGAAATGTTTACAGCAGTAGGTGATCTAATCTGCGTTGCCAGTGGCTGACACATCAGAGTAGAATCTCTGAGTCTTCCTGGATCTAACGCCCACAAAGAGCAGCGGGACATGTAAGGACACTCGGATCCCACTTCATTCCTAACACCCTGCCCTGCTTCTCTCCCGCAAACAGGCTGGTGGAGGGCCACTGCAGCAGGCAGGAGAAACACCCTCAGCTACCCAGGCACCAGGGGAGCCTGTCGGATCAAGCACAGCTAAGAGGACTTTTCCAATAAATTCAAATGGTTCAGATATTTTTGTTGTTCTTTTTTTTTTCTTTTCACGGCACCAATCTTGCACACGTTATGAGAAGTTCAAACTCACAAGAAGGTACGTGCATGACAAAACAAAATATCTAACAAATGAGCGACATATCGTTCTCTCTTGTTGCTAATGTCATTTCTACAGGCCTGCGCCAGAGCAAACGGAACTGGATTACAATGAGCACTGCACCCTGGGAGAGAGAGGGGGCAGGCCGTGTCCCTCCTGCTTGACTTCCTCCTGTTTGCACGGGAATGTCCTGCTGTGACAGAACTCCCAACATCAGCAGACCCCTGGACACCATGGCGACGACAGGACCCCCCCCGCATCTGAAACACTGCTCACTCACACAGGGAGCACAGACACAGTCAGACATGTGAGCCTCACAGTCATGTGAGCTCTGTTCCCGCTGTCTTTCAAGAGCAGGAAGCATGAAGCATTTTGTCTGAAGAGCGAGTAAGGCATTCTCCAAAGAGTGCATCACAGTTTTGAAGTATTCTCTTCAGTTTTAAGCGGAAGAAACAATGTGGGTTAGAGTGACTGGCTAACACGAGTCTGCTGTCGGACACAAATCGTCGCTGTTCAAAAACACGAACTGAGGCGCGATCAGAGCAGAAAGCACCAGTGAGAGCCTAGAAGACGCAGACGTCACCACACAGGATTTGAGTATGAGCAGTGCATGCAAGACCTAGTGGAACGCAGAGTGACTGGAGAGAGTCTGTAAGGAGTGAATTGCTAGAGGAAATAAAGTGTTTACCTGGCGTGCCTGGGTTGTGTGCTTTCTTGGCAGCTGTGCAGGGGGCACTGTGCCAAGATGGCACAGGGTTGGTATCCAAGACACGCCCTGAGAACACAGAAACAAACAAGGCGAGGGGACGTGAGGTGAGGGGCTGTAGTTGGAGCACCTTCCGGAAATCAAAAGCCTTCCTGTGCCCGGAGAGATCTCGTGGAGACTAGGACACTGAAGAGAAAACAAAGGAGAGGGAGTGGAGGGCGAGGAGGAGTCTCAGGCAGTGAGGGAGAAGGACCAGGTAGCCTTAAGACACCCCAAGTCAGCATGTAGATTCCTAGTCTCCACCTGTGGTCAGGATTGCTGCTCTCGTAAACTCATTGGAAAGCAGCCGCAGTGCCAGCCTGTGTGCACACTGACCCAGGGCCCGGCGGCACATCTGTGGTAGTACCGGACCGGTTCACTGTACATGATGTTCAAGGCTTCACTGCTGCTTCATTAACGAGTAACTCGGGAGGCGTTTTTCCTCTCCTGGGGACTGGAAGACTCACAGCTTGCTTTTTATAGGGCAAACTGCACCCCCCAGCTCCTGTACTCGGACCCGAGTACAGTCTGCTACCCCTCTGGTACCGGACCAAGTACCTCTCAGCCGTCAGGCCCGGTTCTGCTTCCCTGCCCAGACTGCACTGTGCAATAATGACAGAGTCACGCAAGCCTGACACAGGCGAAGGAATAGGGATGTTGGAGAGCCCTGGGCTTTTAGTTATATGATGATCTGTCTCGCACAGTCAGTGTATCATGGTTCCACTATGATTAAAGCCTTGAGTTCAGACTCTGGGGTTGGGTTTCAGCCCTCGCTGCAGGTAGTTTAAGAGCAGGCAGCTCATGCGTTTTTTACAGGACAGCCTTTACAATGGGAAAGCCTCCAAATCAGCATGTTGGAGTTGGGCTTCAAGTCAAATACTGGTAAAAACACTGAATACATCTCAAAAAGCAAGCTTTCTATTTTCTTTAAAGTACTTTCTTTACTCCAGTATTTATTGCGTAGAGCAGGCCTAAGGACCCCAATCCCAACCAAATGATCCAGACAGGCCAAGTGGCCACGATCTGAAACCTTGAAGTTATGTTGAGAGAGAACCTTTGCTTACAGTATATTTATAATAGCTAACATGGGAGGATAATATCGGTCCTGTAAGTCAGTATATGATTGGCACAGCATTGGGCCGTGCGAAAATGATTCACCAATTCAAAACTACCTCAGGCGCCATAATGCTCTGCAGGCCTGGGCCTAGTTCAGTGACCTTTCTGCCTCCTCATAAACTGGAAAGAGACAGTTGAAGGCCCAGAGACTTGCCTCAGCCCAGATTACGCCTGCCTGCACCACATTAAATACCCCCTAAGCCAGTGACCTCTCAGGTAAGAAATCTGCAGTCTCATCCCAGGCTTCGTAAACATTCAGTGGGGGTAAGCTCCAAAACACACCTCCGGAGGCAGAGTCCAGACCTTAATGTGCGAGTTGATGTCAAAGCAGTTCTGCTAGTTGAAACATTAACCAGGGCAGCTGAAACAAGTCTCTGACGACCTGCGTCTGGGGGCCAGCCCTAAGAGAGAAGTCAGGGCCCACAGAAAGAAGAGAAAGAGCAGCTCGCATTCACAAGCACAAAGCATTTTTTTTTTTTTAAAAGGTGCAGTGAGGAAGTGACTATTTTGCAATTGTAAAAACATTAAAAAAAAACACCCCCACCGCAGGAGACTCAAAAGACCTTGCAGTCTTTCTGCTAGTGTGGCATAGCAACTGCTTTTCTTTTAAAAAATAAAGACGAAAAATCAGTTAAAAATTTGAGCCTTGCGAACCGCCGAAGAACACCGGAAATTCCCCAACTCGACACAAACCAAATAGTTGGAAATAAGGTTAAGGGCTACCTGAAGCAGACAGGACCCCATCCAAGACCAGCTCAGACACCCCCTGTGAGGAATTAAAGCGGAGGCCAGCAGGCATTACCGGCTACAGGCGCGAGGTAAAAACGAAGCCCCCCCCACCACCACCACCACCACGCGCACACACAGAAGGAAGAACAGGCGTGCGCGTGAGGGCAGGGGTGTCCGAGCCCAGGGGTCGTGAAAGTGCCGCCGTGTGCAGGAGAGTTTTGCTGCAGCCCAGGCCCGAGCTCAGCGCTGCACCGCTGGGGAGCTGCGTCAGCATGTGAAGGCTGCAAAAGAACAGGTACAGGTTTGTCCCCTGCGGAAAGGATGCAGTTATTCACGCATGAAGAAGACTCCGCGGCTGATGCATCTCTTTTCTTTTCCTTTCAGCATGGAATAAACCCCGTTTATCTGTGGGTGCCACAGTGTTCCGTCTCCAGTTCATCCTGCAGTCGGGCTTCACAGGACAGGTATGTTGCAAGAGTAATAGTTTCCAAAGTACAGAGCATTGTGGCAGTAATTCTGTATTGTATTGTAGTTCTAATATAGTAGTAACACTGGTCTACAACGTGCTGCAGCGTAGTTCTAGTTCATTATATTGGACTGTATAGTTAGAATTCAGCAGCGGTTCTCAACCAAATCCACAAAGAACAAATTGAGAAGCGTGGTAAGGGGGTTCTGGGATTTGCGAATCGGCGGCTGACGAGACGAGACCTTCAGCGACCAAGACGCGAAGCAGCAGCTCACAGTGCCTCACTACGAGCGGTGTCTTCGGGGGGGGTTGTAAGGCGGGAAGCGAGACAGAGAAGTTTAAAGAGAAGTCACAAGATAAAAAAAAGTAAAATAGGTTGGAAAAATAGCATAGTACATTAACGCCCCCATAAAAATAACCCTAGTTTAACTGGTTTATACACCACAGGAGGCTAAAACAAGGCCCTGTGTACAGAACTCTGAAGCTGAATGGAGAAGGCTTGGGAGTAGGACATACAATATTTATTTAGAAACACAAAAAAATGATAAGTTATCAGGTAGTCCACAAATATTGTGGGAACAGTATCAATACAGTCATAGTGGGAGAAACAAAATACATACATAATAACCATGTAGGAACAGGCAATCCTAAGACATTCCAATAAGAAAGAAAAGGTGTAAAAACAAAATGTAAAAGAATTAAATGATGGGTTACTGATAATATCTCGCTCAGTGAAACTGCCTGTTCTACCCTTTTAGAAAAAACTTCAAATCGACATTGAACACAAATATTAATGTTTTCGGCTTTTTTTGTTTTTCAAAGAAACAGACAGTCGAACATGAAAAGAAAACCGAATTAGCAAGGATGAAGACTTCCCTGAATTTGCATATTTTTCATAAATATCTCCCCTTCCCAATCAAAATAATTCAAAACCGAAGGATCTGAACCCTAAGTGAAAATAATCCGACCAGCCTCGGTTTTTAAAAACAGTATTAAACCCCTTATTTTTGTTTCCTACTTTCCTTGATGTTGAAGATTTTTTTTTTTTTATAAGAGTTGTTTTCTACAAAAAAAGATGGTACACATTGGAACACTTCATGCAGTGGCACCTCTGTTTACAAAACATTTCTAATAGTAGTCAGGTTTTGTTTCGCTTAATCTTGACCCCTCCCTCCCCAGAACAAAAAAAAAAACACAGCCCTCCCCCAAATAAAAATAACAACAAGCCTAAATGAGGATTTAAAAATACCTAAATCTGCAGATCTTTGCAGAAATAATATATAGAGAGATTTTTTAGTCTGCTGTCATTCGGTGTCCAAATGCATGGCCTCTCCCTGCCCCGCCCCTCAGCAAAGCGAACAGGCCTCCTGTTGTCCCGGAGACGGCGAGAGCCAGCCGGTCCCTCTCTTGTGACATCAACCATCATGTGATATCCTGAGGCAGGACGCTCCCTGATAGGTTGCAAAAAGTCAGGTGACAGGGGAGGTGAGTGACGGCCCTTGATCTGAAAGCAGGTCTCCACGGCCACTTCTGTCCAGCGGTGCAAGGACACCAGATCCATGGGAAAGACGCGTTCCCGTTACCTTGCAAGGTGCCGGCAGACCCCCTGCCTTCCGAAATGTCTTCGATTGAACTCTTCCGCCCGGAATCCACCATTTTCAGAAAGTAAAAAGACTCGCGGGTCTGTGCGCGCATGTGTGTGTGTGTGTGTGTGTGTGTTGTATTACTGTTGTCTGCAGTTGCTCTGCGTTTCCTCCCTCTGCAATTGTCCACTGTTCTCAATTCCTCAGACCCCCCACCTCCCTCCCTCACCCCCTCAGTCCCCAGCCCGTCCTCGGCAAGTTAGAGAAAGCCGCCCTGCCCCCATATCCCCCCCCCAGCCACCCCCCACCCCTCCTCCCCTTCAGTGTGCGGCCCCCCCCAGTCCCGGCCCTCATCTCTCTGCCTCCATGGCAACACTGGCCTTCTGTTCCGAGGAGGCTTGCTGGGTGACTGTGGCGGGCCAGCCAGGAGGGGGCGCCTGTGAGGGGGGCTGCCCTGGAGTCCACAGTCCCTGCTGGCTGGGGGGAGGGGGGGTCATCGCCCAGCTGACCTGTGGTGGGGGGGAGGTTGCCATGGAGGCAATGGGGCTGCTGCTGCTGTTGAGGCTCTCGGAGGCCTTGAGACGCGAGAACATCGTCAGGGCGTCGGGGAAGTTCGGGGGCGTCGCCGGCGTGTTGGCAGGAGTGCACATCTGTGGGGAGAGAGACGGGGAGACCAGGAAAAGAAGGGTTACAGGAAGACCTCGGACGACAAGGGTTTGGCACAAGGTCACCTGTGACCTCGGACTGACGCCACGCAGTGTGAAAGGCAGGCGCTTCTAGAACTCAGCTTGGTTTATGGGTAAAGGCAGAGTGATCTCGGCAGAGGGTTTCGATTTCTTCAAGCCAGTTCAGAAGCCTGCTGCTGTGGGTACTTTCTTCCTCCAGTTCTTCTGCCAAAGCCTTCAAAACACCTCCCGCCTCCCTGGAGTCTCTGAAGACCCCGTCGACATTCCTCTTGTATGCCCCCCGCCCCGTTAACCCCCCGCTCTTTATATATTTTGATTATTGTCCACAACGGCTCCTCTTCCCACTGGCTTACCTGCCACAATCTGTGATCTACCCCACTGACCTGCACCCCAGTATCTCACATCATGATCCCAGGCACCCCTAGTATCCCCCCCCTGCCGTTGCTGGTCTCCCGACAGACCCCCCCCCACACACACACACTGGCCAAGGCCTTCCCAGCAGTCCCTGCCGCTGCCCGGCCCTCCTGCTCGGGCTGGCCGGCGCCGAGCCCCGCTTGCCTCCTCACACTGGCACCACGAGCCAAGTTAATCCTCTCCTCAAGGTCTGCCAGAAGACAGCCGGCAGGTGCCGCACACCAGGGTGAGAACTTTCATTATTTCAGTATTAAGAAGCCTGCTGAACGGTGTGGCACTCGAAGCGAAGTCGAGCCTTTTAGTGACGCAGACACACCTGCCTTGGGGGGTGAGGGGGGAGGGGGTATGACGATTGTTACTGGAAGTGGCAGCTCTTATCTATTTTACAAAACCTGTGACGCGGGAATACTTGCTTTTGTAACATGTCACAAGACCTTACATTCCCAACTGCGAATTTCACACCAGAACTGTGCCCAGTCCCACGTCGGTATTCGATTTAGTAGAGGGCTGCACCCACGCTGAGCTGCACAGTACGACACCGGTACCTAACAAAGGGACACCCAGGTTACAAAGTCAACAGAGTTGACAAAAACACCTAAAAATGTACAATAGTAAAACCATGCCAATAATATCTCATAGGTACAAATACGGAAGCACAAGTGGATATATCCTAGGCTGACAAGCTGAAGGACCAGAACCTTGTCAGCCCTCAACGGAGACGATTACGAGGAGACTCGGGACAAGGATTTAAAATCGAAGTCCACTTGGCGGGCGCCTCTGGAATGAACAGTGAGGCATGACTCAGAGGGCAAGTGGAAACTACTACTACTACTACTACTACTACTAGGAAGTGCATTTAAATTGGGAACAGGAGGCACTTTAAACAGAGGGTGGTGGGAGCATGGAACAAGCCCCCCCAGAGGATACCCTGGTGCCCTCTGAGAAACAGCGGGATGAGGTGCTTGGACTGCTCCGCAGGCCAGATGGGCCTAATGTCGCCCTCTTGCTTGTGACACTTCTCCTGCTGACAAACTGGGGGCGGTGCTCAAGGGTGAAGAGTGGCTGTGGCAGGTGGGGGGGTGATGGGGGCAGGAGCAGAAGGGGGAGCAGGCAGAGCCTCGGCGTGAACATCGGGAGCCCACGCCTCGTGCTCCCCTTGCTCCAGCTTGGAAAGGCAGGAACGCTCTTCAGCTGCCTGGGCAAAGGGAAGGGAGCACAATCTCCATCGCTCGCCCCACACCTCCCCCGCCTCTCGCCGGATCGTCTTACCGCTGACTCGACATCCGCCGCCGGATCCCTGACCCTGAGCCTCCGCCGCCGTGGGGACAACCTTGACTCTGCCCGGGCAAGAGGCATCGATCTCTTGTAAAAGTATCTGGAGATCCGGAACTCACCCCGTTATCAATGGGCAATAAGACCCACAGGGCTGTGCTGTGCAGCTACATCCCACTGTGCCCTCTGCGCGGTGCCACGGACACCGTCAGCTAAGGGGCTGAAGTAAGTGACGATTATTCCAGTGACGATCCATGTGGAGCCTGCAGCCCCCCCTCTACGCCTGGCCAGCGGAGGGCCTTGCCTGACCACCGATGGCGAGCGTGTCACGCCCCCCTTCCTGGTGCCCGATGCTCCCCTGCCCCCCCAACTGCTGGGGCTGCCCGGGACCTGCCCATCCCCAAGAGCTGCAGGCGCAGTGTTGGGGCCGGACCTTCAGGTCAAGACGACAAGACAGTTCCAGCCGTCAACAGGCTGCCGCTTGCCCCGGCGAGGGTGGGCGACCTGCCAGTGCCAGCGTGGGCGAAGGGCAGGGCAGTAGGAGTACCGCTGCTGCTGCCCCCTGGAGGGGACGGCAGGCCACTGCCGCAGAGAAAGGAACAGTTTGGTACAGCGGGACAAACCCGACCAACATGCCGTTAGGAGAAGACAGCGTATGAGAGCACCCGGACAAAACACGAACATGCAGACTCCTCACAGACAGACATATGAAATCGAACCCAGGTCCCTGGAGATTTAAGGCTGCAGCAGCACAAATCACCCTGCCACTGTGCCGCCATCAATACTACCCTAAAGAGATGCGGCCAGTCCCGTTACTCCGACTGCAAAAAGATGTCTAACAGTCCCCTCGTCAAACCGTACTCTGGCTGTGCGGAGACGCAGCACATGATCTCCAAAACAGAGAAGTGCACAGGCTGTGGTGACAACAGCCACAGAAGTGAGAAGTGAAAGGCAGCCGAGAGACAAAGCTGCACAAAGGTCTACGTCTGTGTCGGGTCTGAGCTGCACTGTTCCGACGAGATCTCTTCTAACAGACAGGACAAGGCCAGTGGAGAGAAGATTGGGACCAGTTCTGTCCACCTTCTCCTTGGGTTCCTGACTCCTAAACAATGACTAAACCTTGACTCTCTGCATGCATTACAACCCCCTTACAGGCTCTTAACTCCCTGAAGCTGCAGGACAGAATGACCACAATACACTCTTGAGACTCTACTTCCCAGCTCAGCTCACAAAGCTTTCCGCCTCGTTGTCCACTGACAGACCAGCTCCATCACCGAAAAGAATTTGTGCTCTGTTGCAAACCGACGACGGATGAATTTAAGCCATCTAACATCTGGATCAAAGCCAGTGGGAGCCATTTCTTTATAACACAAGGTGTGGGTCATGCAAGAAGCTTTTTTTTTTTGCAGGAAGTGACTTTATTGCTACATTCAATTACGTTTTTATTTCTGCAGAAAACGCTCCGGACTTCCCTGCTGAACGGTTCTAGTGATACTTCAAATTAAGGGAAGTTAACGGTATTCCCCTCATGCAGCAGGTCCTTCATGGCTTGTCTGAAAGCTTGAAGACAGAATGGCAAAAACCCACTTGAGCTGGAAGCGCACAGACTACACTTGACTGCAATGCTTAAAATACTCTGCAGCATTAACACAGGAACTTTAAACAGCACCAAACAGACTTTAGTACTACAATGGTGTCAGATTAATTTTGTTTTATTCTGGACAAGGCCAGTTGTCTAAAAACAAGATACCATTTGAGTCTGTAGTTTTCCTGCATAGATAAATGCACCCACTTTGATTTCAGTCTAATTATCACCAAGAACAGCTTAATAATTAACCTGCCGGCACCGAGAGGTTGACACAACATGCCATGTTTTTTTGTACAACGAATGGGCCTGTGTTAATCTTTAAAACCATGGCTGTCGTATCTATCCGTACTGTGGCCAAGCGCTGGAAAGCGCCTGTGTGAGATAGCGACGGCAGTAGCCAGAAACACTGAACAGCAACGGGGGTCTTCATTCCCGACACACAGGAAGATCCCCTCTGAAATGACAGTCAAGGGTCAGACCTCCTCCCGGCAGGAGGGGAAGGCCAGGTCACTCTCGGATGGAAACACCCCCGCTCGTGCTGGAAGAGTCATGTTTTAAGCCGGGCAGAAGGAACACGACCCCGGCCTGGAACAACGGAGTCAACAATCAACAATCCAGAGTCCCCGAAGTGCGCGTCGGAAAACCGGCGCCGCAGACGATTTCGAAAAAAGCAGGACGTGAAAGAATTTCGGATTCCAAATCCACCCAGGCACCAGC